TACAAAATTTAATGTTTTGCACTTATTAATTGAGGTAATCTGTTATTTCCGTTGCAAGTTGAATTTATGAATTAGGGTGACAGTACAACAAGACGTAAGCAATATTGCCATGCGATTATGCATCACTGCAATATTGCATGTTTTGCTGCAACTGCAACAACAACAACAACAACAACAACAAAACGTTTTGATTAACGATATTTTAATTTCCTTTGCTTGGCAATATATGTGTATCATTTTGTCCTTTTTATAATAAAAGGGATGCAGTCTTTATTTAAACTGCATAGTGTTAAATCTGAGATACATTTTACCAAGCAATTCGTCTTTAAACAAAAGTACCATAGGTCTACATTAAAAAACAACTTTTCATTGTTATGTTAAAACAAAAGCATCACTATATTATACACAGAAATCACTGTAAGCCAATAATACATAATTCAAAAAGTCAATATTGAATACAAATACACTTTTTAAAAAAAAAAACATTAACACACATGATGAAATAGAATAAGAAATTGTTACATTGGTGGGTCTTACTTGGTTAAGCAAATTTTCTTTTGCAAAATAATTCCATTTCAAGACTATGTAGGATAGAATAACACTCTAAGCATTAACGGTTTGTTTTCTGGATATAAAATACTAAACAGAATGTTGGTCATTTTGTTCTGCGTTTTTGCATGTGTGCAATGAGTCATTAATTGCTTTGGAAGAATCATTTCCACGGTATTTCTTAAACGCCTGTCTCGCATCGGAATGTTGGTATAAAGTTACAAAATGGTTGGCAAAGATAGGCAAAGTCAGGGCAAATAATAACACTCCAGACATTGCACACAGGCACGCAATGAATCGGCCTACTTGTGACTGTGGCGAAATATCTCCGTATCCAACCGTAGTCATTGTTACAACAGCCCAATACCAACCAATCAAAATGCTGCTTACATTCTTCTTGTCTTCTGCTATATAGAAACAGCTTGCAAACGCGCACATCCCGGCAATGAGAAATAGACATAGAATTGACAGATCCTTTAGGTTTGCTCGTATGGAGTAAGCTAGTACTTTACCAGCTCGGATACTGGACACAATGCGGAATAATCTCAAAGCACGTAACATCTGTGAGTACTCCAACATATCAATCCAATCATCTGTGAATCGTTTATGCTTATGCATATAAAGAACAAGCAAATGTATATACGTACACACTAAAGCCAAAGCATCAGTGATATTGATAATACAGAAGAAATAGTTTTTCAAACTAGGACAAGAAACAAGCTTCGATTGGTCGATAGTTTGTATTAGTATGTTAGCTTAACGGTAGCTTATCACAGTACTTCTGTTGGTCCGTATGCAGTGGAATCACATTTTTGGTCAATAGCTTTAACAGTTGATTAATTGGTTTATACTTTGTAGCAGTTTTTCATCAAATCATAAGTCATCAAATTGTTTTAGCTTTATATATATTTATTTATTGATTTTTGTTTGACAAGTTCTTGCGACTCGTTTCAATCTCCTTTGTCTCAGCTTCTTAGATTAAACCAGGGCTAGTAATCTAAGTGCAAATTCTCACAATTTCTAAGACTATATAGAGTTTAAAGAATATAAAGATGTATTTTAAGAATATTTTCCTATAAACCAATTGCCAGTACAATTATGTTGTTTCTATGATTGTAAAGTCAATATTTAAAAAAAAACTGAATTTTGTTTTTAAAAACACAACTATTGTATGTAAAAGAAACTTAAATGCTACGATAGAAAATAATATGTTGCTACTTAAAAAGGGTTTTCAACGGTTAGTTTAGCATTCATTTTGTGCAATTGCAATTATTTCTCTTAGAAATATAAGACAATGAATATTTATGTTGTATAATAAACTTTTATAGCTGAAATACTTTTATATAGTTTTAATCATGCCTCTTTATCTACATGTAGTTATAGCGTACGTCATTAAATGATAATTTGATATGAAATCTTCCGACTTTTAAATGATAAAAAATGACACATCAGATACCTGTTGTAACAGCAAGAAGAAAGGGATTCCACTGGGATTTCCCAAAAGGCCAGCTCGTTCATGAACGCTCCCGGGCATGACGTCATAGGTATATGCAATTCTCCAGTTTGGTACATTGCTAATATAGCAGGAAACATTTCATGTGGTCTTTCAACAGCGATCACACACGTTTTATTAGATGCAGAGGTCGATTTGTATAAATTTTGTAGACGAGATGAAGGTCCGTTTTCTAGAAGCTCAACTGGAATTGTAAAAACCTGACCTCCAACTTCTATACGTACTCTTCCGGCCATTTCTCAAACTTTGTTAAAGGAGATATTCGGAAATACTGAGATTCGTTGTGAGCATGAAAACTATAAACCCGTATGAAGTTATCGCTAATTCGTCCATTTTACTTTATTCAAGTCACTGTTTAAGTTCACACCACAATTGCCAACTATGATATCATTTCATTACGTAAAGAAATTGAGATAAAATCACGCATTCATAAATTATTTACCAGCACAGACAATTTTTAATTCGGTTGTAGCTCAAAGAAATGTTCATTGATTCTTTTTCTGCAGTAATACACATTTCGATACACCAATACCCAGTTTGATTAAATATTGCTTCGTGTCTTTTTGTACTTTGATAAATAATTGCATTAAAATGGTATAGCACAATATTTCCTGATAATATATTCCAATACTTTTCATATATCTTAGTGTTCAGCAGAACTGTTCCATTGCATAGAGCATAGCGACTGTTTTAATTGGTACAAATAATCCTAGTAACAGAAACCTATTCGCATCTTGAAATACTCACAGCAAGATTTATGATTGCTGAATAAACTACGAAGATAAATCCAGGTTATATAGATTGCTTTGGATGGAAGGAATTTCGTACACAATTGCACATTCTTAGCAACGTTAGAGTCTCCTAAAAATAAACAAGTGCTTCGTGAAGAATTTATTACAGGTTTGAAGGAACGCAAATTTGCATTTTATGTAGCAAATTTCACTTAAGATTACTATCATTGTAAATCTATTTTTGATCATCTAAGAAACACTTAAAGAAGATTATTTTTAAGTCGTATTAAAAATAAACCGAGAAAAATGTGACGTATTACTAGTTCTTATTAGAAACTGTATTGTTGTTTGATAATTGAAACAAAAAAAACAACAAAAACACAGTAAGTCTGCAAAAAAGAAAAGAAATACATACAATGTGTCAATATATACAATACAAAGTCCCCAAGGTGGAATGAGGTCTTTAAATATACTGGAACATTTTCTGTTATTGAAGTTGTTGGCATTCAATCATGTTAAGTGTGTATTTTCTATGTCAATTTCAGATTTGCCATACTTCATTTCACCCCTTACATCAAATTGCAAAGTAAGGATACCGTTTTATTATATAAATGCTCATCAAATACCGCGGACATTTATTTCACATTTTGGCCAAAACCTAAATCCGTCCGTGCTACATGGCACCTGATTCATTAGAATTGATTGCTGAAAAATGTTATATGGAAATCCGCAAAAATTAAATTCTCTTGCGAATGAAATATCTGAAATATTTTTTTTACTGTTTGTTTTTTTCAAATGGGCTCCTTTCAATTTTTTGTATGCACAGTAAATTAGCCATAAACCTCAATTCAAAACAATTAAAAAATTTAAAAACTTGAGTAATATTTTCAATGCACGATTTATAGTTAAAAAAACATTTAAGCTTTAATTTTAAAACCGTTTGTTTTGAGATGCTGTTACTCAACGCAAAACATTCTTATACATAATAAGATGCTCATAAAGTAAAGAATTTCTAGTTAAAATATAAAACTCATAAAACACCTTGTAAAAATTAAATTAGTAAAAGCAAAAGTGTTATGTATTAAGAAAATACGATAAAATATTAATAAGATTGTAATATATCTGTGCGTCGAAGAAGCAAAACACACTCACCTATACATTCAATAAAACTGTAAACAGTATACTTGTATATTATAAAGTTTTTATTATAACCACATATTCTTTTCATAATATTAGAGGTTATATAATTTAAATTAGTAAATACTAAACCAAATAATATGTGTTAAAATATTGTACATAATAGTCTTATCATCTATTAATGACTATATGAGTTTCATACATAATAATGTATATACACTACATTTAAGTTCTGTATTTCAAATCATAGATATACGTCATATGTCTCTATTTATGAAAAAATCAAAGATTGCTCTAAAAATATATGACAAATTAATAATTTGACATTATATTATAATACCAGATTTTACAATAAAAACACATCTCAGTAAAATCTTAATATCCATGTAAAATTAAATATTTTATATAAATCATGTTTAAATATTTCGTGCATTCCAACATCATATTGATGTTATTTTTAACATTCAATAATAATTATTTTAATTATCAAAATAATATTTTATTGACACTCTACCTTGTCTTAACCTCTTAAGAATGCTGTTTTCTTTTTTATCAGCGTTGCTATACACCCCAAAAATCTGCTTGTACAGTAAACACAATTAGACTAATAATAATTGTTATTGCTAATGAATTGACAACAAATTACATAATGCTAGTACGAGACTATCAAAATGTAAGCCAAAGACTATCAAAGGGTTTTATTTAAAGACCCATTATGCCGCAAAAACGTTCATAATTTTATTTCTCGAAACCTTTTTCGTTTATGTTGTCCTATTCATAGTTTCTAAAAAAGTAACCCATCAACCTTCTTCTACTTCAGTTGCATTTTGCATTAGAACAGTTAAAGTGGATAAGTATTTTGTATAGAAGTCAAAATACCACTTTGTTGACAATAGGCTACTTATATGACATATATGACAAACAGTTACACATTCAGCCCTACTTTCTTAATGTCAGGATATAACTTGCTCTGAAACCTTTTTTAAAACGTATGAAACTCATGTTTGCCATTTTGTTAGAAAGGAAATAATATTCGTATAATATGCCTTAAAACGTTTTTTTAGATACCGTTTCTTTACTTTACTCTGAACTGAAAACAATACTAAACGAAACTCGTTAATGTTTAATGTGATAACCAGTTAACTACCTTAAAGTTTAAGAAACTTACTGCAACTGTCAGTAAGCCATACAGAATGAAAATTTAAGTTTTAGCAAACACTATTTCTTAAAATCAATTAGTTTTAGCGATACAATAGGGATTGCTGTTTCGAGTTCTTCTATTTCTTAATTGAATCCAAAACCTTGTGTATTTAATTAGAAGTTACTGTTAATATTAATTTGCTGATGACGAGTGTCCTGAAAATGTAATCTTAGATCAAATAATTAAATAAAACTGATGCTTCTGTCTTAGCAAAACTTTACATTATTTACTACTTACTTTATTTTTCTCATAGCACCGCATGAACATTTTTGTCGGAGCACTTCTCACTGCATGAACAATATTTTTGAAGACCTCCTGGCTAAGTGAATTTAGATAACGAATTAGTAATTATTTAATGCACATAATCATTGATCAGTTATTATTACATGATCTTTTACCCTCAAAACCATTCATTGAGCAAACGTTTTTTACTGAGCACTTGTCACTGAATGGACGAAATATATTTTAACACTTCTCACTGTATATTCATAATCAACTGCAAGACATGGAACACAGCACACTAAATGAACATCTATCACTGATCATTTGTCATTGCATGAACATTATTCAATGATTTCAGCACATACTGAGAACAGTCGACATCGTCGCAATATGGAAGGAATATCCACAAGGGAAATAATAAAGCAATGTCAATTCATGCTTTATTATTTTTCATGTGATAGAAAATTAAAAAATATGTTATGACAAGCGCAGGACCTGTCTGAAATTATTGAGATTGCAAATTCAAGAAATTGTATAGAAGGCCAGCAATTTAATAATATGCGGAGTTGTTTGCTGTTATAATAAAAATAAGAAAACATCATGCTATCAATTAAACTCCTATTACTCATTGTCACAACTGATGTCTTGAAGTGTATACATTAAAAATATATATGTAAAATTAATAATTTAATTTCTTGGATTTAATTAACAAATTGTCATTCGTTGTGTTTTTCTGTTATAATCTTTTAGATTGACTGACTAGCGTTTCTTACCTGCAAGTCTTAAAGAGTATATCAGTCAAAAAATGTGCGAACTCAAAATCTATTAATTACTGATATTTACAGTTAATGCTGTTAAACATCGTTGATTTAAAATTGATATTTAGGCGAAGAAACTACGTTGAGAAATTACTGATTATGTTTAACGACACCCCTAAAGCACGACTAAAACGGAATGAAAATGTTCAGTTGTAAGTTAAACGTCCTATGTTAAACTATGCATAGACTATTACTATTTGAAAAGAAGTTTGGTGCAAAGAGTTCTGGGAGACTGCATAAGCATGCAGGCTAAGTAGAATACACAGGTGGAACAAGATGATTATCATTGATGCAAGCATTGTATTGGTAAATTCCTGCTGTATTCCTATATTTCCAGACATACATACAATTATTTCTTTTTCTATTAAAGCTGGAAGGTAGGATTTTGATGAGAATTGTACCAATCAACATTATATATATCTATGGTATAAAAATGTAGTTTACTTAAAAGTTACGGTGTTTCGTTATGGCCATTGTAAATACGACTTTAGCCTGGGATTCAGGCGTTGATATTTTTTTATTTATTCATAACTTACGCGCTATTTCATACTCGATCGTCATAGATAACACATCATCTCTGGTTATGATAGTATCAACGCCTGGGGAAACCTGCGGGGTTTCCCATGTAATTATTGACTAATGATAATCCTATTAATAGACCGATTAGCACGTGACCAACAAATAACATGACTAAATCGAAATCGAGGCGAAGGTGATAAATATTGAAAATTTGACGCCATTTACCATTATAAATTGAGTCCAGCACAATTATCTGATGCTCACACACTTTATCTACTTTAACTTATCACAACTGTTGATCAAATTCACTTATCATGCAATAAACTTTGTCAACGAGTGTTAGTTTTTAATCGAAAATGGTGTTTTGAAAGCGAGGCTCCGTAACTGTTCGTTAAGCTTCGGGTCACTTCGTGGAAATTCCGTTTCTATTTTTAGAAACTAGTTTGTTGTTGCATGAGTTATCGTTCTTTAATAACACCCGTAATTTTCGGGGTGCATACTAGGTGGCGCTTCGATCGAAAATTGTATTTCCCCAGGCTGTCGATTTGCCAAACAGAAGCACATAAAAAAATCGACAGACTGGAACCCAGGCTAATACGACTTATTAAAATGGCGAAAGTACAATAGTACGATGAGAGATTAATTTATAGCAACCTCACATCGCTCCCTGATAGAACTTTTGCCTTTCCGAATAAAGGTCGTCGAAATGTCGAAATAAAAACCTAACGTAACAAATAAACAACAAGAACACAATTTAATTGAAACAATAGCATTATTCAGTTAATAATAGTCTAATATTCTAATGTGATTGTTTACTAAAAGATGTAGAATGCTGAGGTCTGAGATGCTAAACACATGTAAAAAGTGGTTGCGGTCATTTGTCTTGCAACCTATTATAAGTCTATAAAGTATACAAATAAAAGTTAAAATATTGTAAATATAATTATAACGATGAAATGTGTAAATGTCATACTGTAGAAACAAGCTTTGTTCAGCCATTTGCCTTTTACGAAAATAATTCGACGTCTATACAATTGGTAAAGTACTAAACGGATTGATCTTTTTTAACAGAAGTTTTAACCTTTTCCCTTCGTTTATTACACGCTGTTTGTGAGTCAGCAATGGCATTCGAATAATCATTTCCACGGTGTTTTTGAAACGCATGTGTCGCATCCGAGTGTTGGTATAAAGTTACAAAATGGTTTGCAAAATAGGCAAAGTCAAAGCAAATAGTAACACGCCTGCCATTGCACAAATGCACGCAACGAATCGGCCTCCTTGTGACTGTGGCGAAATTATCTCCGTATTCCAACCGTAGTCATTTTACAACAGCCCAATACCAACCAATCAAAATACTGCTTACATTCTTCTTATCTTCTGCTATGTAGAAACAGCTTGCAAACGTACACATTCCAGCAATCAGAAATAGACACAGAATGAAAAGATCTTTAAGGTTTGCGGCGTATCGAGTAAGCTAGAACTTTTCCAGCTCGGATATTGGAAACAATACGAAATAACCTCAAAGCACGTAACATTTGTGAAGTACTCCAACATATCAATCAACTGTCCGTTGTTCGCCAATGCTTATGCATATGAAGTACAAGCAAATGAATACATGTACACACTAAAGCTAAAGCATCAGTTATATTAATAATGCAGAAGAAATAGTGTTTCAAACTAGGACAAGAAACAAGCCTCAAAACTAGGTCAACTGAGAAAAATGCAATGGTGATAATCTCTATAGTCTGTCCCATTAAAAATGGAAATGAACTTTTGCCTCGTGTGAATTAACAAAACGAGGTTGAATAAAAATTAAAATATTTTTGTAAACTAAAAAAAAGTCACCCTCGAGATTTTTCAGGATTTTTCTCTAAAGTGTCTAATTTTCTTGTGAAAGCAAATTTTGATTTCTCTATGGTAAATCTCTGTTGTTTATTTTCCGTAGCCATTGCCGAAGTACTCTTCATTTGAAGATAAACGGGAGAAAGCACGTGTTATGTTTCTAAAATATACATGAGGTTCTCGGGGTCGTTTCATGATTATTTTACAAAGCTGGATCTACAAGATGTAACAGTTTAGTTGCAATGCATGATGGAAAACTTTAAAAAATGAAAAATAAGCAACAAGAACACCGAGTCACACGGAGTAGGAAAGAAATTGCACTTACTTTTAAGCTGAATAGAATCCCTATGAATTTCGAAATAGATCTTTATATGCACGTCACCACAAATTCGCATTCTGAAGATTCCTTCATTGCAAGTTTCTATCCAGTTCCGTAGCTTCAAAACTCCTGCATGACATGACTCCTACACTTATGACGATCCAGATTTTTTTAACTGTTAATCCGTCTCTTTATCAAAACATTGTTAATTTTGTGGAGTTATCTGGGTTAGCAAATGAAATATGTAAATGAAACATATCATAATTCAGCATGTTCCAAATCCATAATTCAAGAACGGCCCATCAATTTTAGTTGTTAACATCACAATGTTTATAACTCTTGAAAATGGATTCCTGACGAAAAACATTATTACGTCAACAACAATTTACGAAATATATGACGTAACAAAAATGCCTCGCGCTTCCAGTTGCGGCATTGACAGAGGGCGGTTAGGCCAATGTAACCTCAAACAAATAATTTCAAGCGTTGAGATAAATATGCCTTGATTGCATTTCAAATAATTTTTGTAGACCCAAATGTTGCAACTTAACTATAAAAATGACACCTTCAATTCATATATTAATAATAAAACTTTCGATAACATTTAAATACTTTAAACTCACTTAATGACATGAATCTTTAATTACATATAACATTCGTTTTCATTTTATGTTTTTAAACTATTTTATATATTTCTCAGAAATGATTTTCCTACATACTATCCCTTATTATTAAAGACTTCTGTAAATCCTACTCTTTAATTTACAAAATATACAATACGCGTTTTTTTTTCTGCCGCGAAAAATATGCTAGATCTATTGTTTTTCACTGAATCTTTTCAAAATTTAGGAAGGCTAAAATTATTGAGGTTCTCTTTGACTCGACCTCCCCTTCATATTAACATAATAATTATATGTAACACTTTGAGTCTGCAATAAAAACCGCACTTATTGTCGCTTATTGAACACTCCAATTCAAACTTATTCTTAATAATGTCAAATCACTGCCGGTATTTCTGGACATTTTGTTGAATTGTGAGACGGCAAGTTAAATCTGAATTTACGAGCTTAAAGTGTATAGGCCCACGTTTGATTTCTCAAACTAGAAAGCATGATATCATATTCTTATAATTTACATTTTCCTCGGACGCGAATCTGTGTTCTCTCGTTAGCGAGGGGGTATGTTAAAGTAGACACTGTGGTAACAAGCAAACCAATGCTGAACGTAAAGTGAATCAGTTCTCTTTTCTATATATTTCTTGTCAGATTTGCATGATAATGCAGTATTTGTTGGCGATTTCTTGTGAAGGAAAGGTTTAGCACACGAACATCGCACCCGAAATAAGAAGGGTAACATATTTTTGTATCTCATCGAACCTGGTCAATTTTAATTATTTTTGAATAGACGTGACTCATACTAATGGACAGAATTCAGACAACTACAGAATTATGTAAATTAAACATTACTTAGCGAATAACCATTTTATAGTCTTCTTGCTAGTGTTCCCGCTCCCATTCGACGCGTCGCGGTATTCAAGATACGCGCTTGATTGAAAAGCTATCTAATCAAATCACTTCATTGTTCTTTTTCTCTTAAAAATAATATAAAAATACGACAGTATAAAATACGACAGTATATCATGGTAATTATAGAAATATTTGTGTGTTAGAATTAATAAAGCGGTAACTGATATTTTCACTTCAAATGATTTTGATTATTTTAAATAATGGTTTGCTAGTAAAATTGTCTATTTGACACCAACTTTGTTTTCATTTTAATGAGAACATTTAGCTATTGATCAGTAAGTAAATAAGAATAATCATTTTTTTATAATTACCGAGTACATTTCACGCTAATTGTGAGACGAACCCTAAATGACGTCTATATGGGCGCCGCCATTTTGAAATGGACGTCACGTCAGATTACAACGTAAGTCAACGGGGAAAAATATAATTTTAACATTTCGACCATAATAATAACTTTATGAAAAAAATGAAAAACATGCCTAGAGATATTGACATCAGGGTTAACATGACATTAATTTAAATGATTTTACTATTATATTAAACAAAAAATGGAATATTCAAATTTGATGGGACAGACTATAGTAAAGACAAAGTATATATTGTCACTTTCATATTCGGTACTGATACATATTTACTCCTAGTAACTGAACCAATAAAATTATTTGCTTTTGTACGATTGTCATATTCTCCTGAACGCCACCTTTTATTGTAATCCGGCAATTTGACGAAAATATACTTGAAACCTTCAGGAGGCTTTTTATCGGGTTTTTTTTGTAAATGCATAAGGTTTAGGTTCTTCGGGAATATTTTTCTCGTCACAATGCTTTTCAAATGTCTCTCTAATTAATTCCACATTTTCCATACCGTAAGACGTCATGTATTCTAGACGCTCGCAATTAGTCATACTCCTCTGGAAGTTTGAATCAGTTTTTACAGCCAATATGAATATCGACAGCAGCACCATAAGAAGGGACAATATGAAATAGACCTGAAAAAATACAATTTAATCACACATTCAACTAATAGGCACGTGTTTTAATAATATATTTTCTATAAAAATGATATAAACATATTTTATTATACAGTATGCACTTCTAGACTAAGAATATTATACTTTATACATGTACATGCATCTCAAATTAAGCGCTCAATATTCTTTGTACAAACATGTCTATATCACGTATGCGGCTACAATCAATACCACAGGATGATTAATATTTAATAATTTTACCAACAAGGAGCCGTCAATAGTCCATATTTGAGAGTTGTTTCCTTTTTATTGGCCAGATTCTATCTATACAAGGTCAGAACAGAATGAAAGAATAATTCGAATATACGGATAGACAAATACTAAAAACAACATTTATATTTCTCTATAGGATAGAATGCTATGAAAGTTCATACCATACCATATTCTGAAAAAAACTTTATAACATTCTCCGGAACAGAAAGATGCGCGATCTATCATGATAAAATATTTATATATAACTATGCATGAGGGGAAGAGTATTATAACTATTTAAATTTTCTGGAAATTTATCGTAAAATTATGATCATGTTTGAGACATTCCTAATATGTATAAACATTTATAGATATTAGACAAATTCAAAACTCAATGGTAAATATGATTATTGACAACCAACCCTAGCTGGCGTCGATGGTTTTCTGTATTCTACAAGGTTCCACAACTTAAAACGGGCTGTATGTAGGCTACATCGTGAAGTTTGCGGTGCTTCTGGATAAGTTTCTACTTCTAAACTATCTTTGAACTGTTTAAGTGTTTGTTGTTCGTCGTAAAAACTTTGCATTCTAAAATGAAATATATTCTGTACGTACCAAATATGCATTTCATAACTAAGCTTTGAATTTAATATTGTACTTGACCAAAAAAGATGCTTTAGCTATTGTTTGCAATTATCTGCCGGAAGTTTTTTTTATATTTATTGATTTATTACCTTTTTAGATTTATTTGCTATCTGACGTCCATTTTCGGAAATTCGCCTTGTTGTGCAGTCGAAAAATGATAAATTCTTTTACAACAAAAACAACAAAAACAAACCCCAAAAAAAAAACAAAAACAAAAAACGAATAAATATGCATGATGATTTTCTTTTATTTTTCTTTTAAACACAAATACTTATAAATGTAATCATTTTTTAAAAAGGTCATATTTTCAAAACAATGTCTGAAATTTCAAATTTATTGAGTTACAGATATAATATGTTTTAATCATAGATGTCAAATAAATAATTATGTAACCGGAAGATAAAATGTGGCTTTTCCTCCTTGTCAAATCAATGGTGTTAAAAGTTTTTTATATTTAGGTGATAATGTCATTTTAGCCGTCTGTACGTAATAAGTTGTTAAACCTTATGACTGAGGTGATGATTGTTTTTCTAAATTCTATGTATGTTGCTATGTTACATTATTTTGTATTGAAACCTGATTGGTTATTTTGTTATTTAAGAAACGAAGATGTTAAAAAAATATTGGTCAGTTTTAAACAAAACAATTTTGAGAAATATTGTAAAGATAGAAAAATTGAACAGTTATAGTTTGGATTTTCAAGTGATAACATTGTCGCTTTCCACCAGAAATAGTTGTTACTGGTTTTAATATCAATTTGTAAACATCAGGATAACCTGTGTTTAGGTTTATTATAAATATTTGTGGTATTCCACTGAGAAAGAAACATTAAAATATAAAATGAGACATTGTGTTGTGATTCAATCCACCTTCAGTAGAACTACAAATTAAGAGCATAAAACTATTACATTTATAAATATTTGTGTTTAAAAGAAAATTAAAAGAAAATCATCATGCATACTTATTCATTTCTTTTGTAAAAGAATTAAAAATGATAAATATCATTTTTCAGCTGCACAACACATTTATGAACAATGAGAAATACTTGATAGATATAAAAATTAAAAAAATGCTAGTGTTTTGACTGGTCTGTGTTTTCTTACAGTATTTTTATTGGGCTTTAATTTGTCACAAGAATTTTGTTGACTACTAGTTTGTCATAGTGTTTTCATTGGTTGGTTTTTGTGACAGTATTTTGGTTGGTAGATAGTTTATCACAGAATCCAGGTTGCCCGATAGTTTTGTCACAAATTCTGGTGGACGATATTAAATAACAGGACTGGTTCAACTCAGATGGTCGAGTTTATAACATGATCTACTAGCCAATAGTTTGGTTTGCCAAAGGAATTCTGTTTGGCCTACAGTTTTTCAAAGTATTGTGGTTGGTCGAAAGTAAGACATCAATGTCATATTGAGAATAACCAAAAGTATAAAAAAGAGATTTTATAAATCTATCTAACCTGTTGTAACAACAAGGAGAAAGTAACTCCACTGGTATTTCCCAGAAATGCAACTCGTTCATGAAAGCACCCGGACATGACGTCAATGGTATATGCAGTTCTCCAGTTTGATACATTGCTAATATTGCAGCAAACATTTCGTGCGGTCTTTCTTCGACGATCACACATGTTTTATAAGATGCAAAGGCTGACCTGTACATTTTCTGCAAGCGAGATGTTGGCCCCTTTTCCAGGCTTTCACGGGGAATTGTGAATACCTGACCTCCAATTTCTATACGTACCCTGCCGGCCATTTCTTTGAAACTGAAAATATTGATATTAGTCTAAAATATTAGGAACTTTAAACAAGTTTTACGTTAACGTTATCATGTCCTAACTTATTTCGTTTTATTACGAATCAAACTAACAAATGCTTACTATAACATTTCATCATTACGTAAAGCATTTCGTTTCTAAAACAAACCGGACATTGACTTTAATCATCTTTCAAAGAAGTGTGATTTTCTCCTTTATCTAAAATAACAAAAAATCTAGAGAAATTCTTACAAGTACAATTTTATATTATTATCCCTCACTTATTTCGTAATGCAAGTGTACTACGTGCGGTGAAATTTGTACTGTTACATAGGTAACAGTACTTTTAACAGTAAAAAATCTGCTCACGTGGTCTTTTGTCTAAGTAAAATAAAATAGCCGCCATTTTTTTCTCTATTCATTCCTATTTTCGAAGTTCACCACGATTGGGCACCACCAGAGAAACTCTGACACCCATACAATTCAGTTCATTGCACCCTGGAGTGCTTTTCGCGTATAAAATGTCTTTTTGTTGAATAGGCAAAAAGTGATCATCCGTTTTCATCGGAAGTAATTGCAATGTGAATAATTATGTGTCAAACTGGAATATGCGACGATTAAAGCATGCAACAAAGGATTATTTAACAATTTTAACCAGTGAAACATTACAGATATGGTGGACAGACGTAAGAGATCATCGTTATTTTGTGAATGCACTTTATCATAAACAATGCAAAAAAAAACTCTGGATACAGAAGGATTTCATATATTGTACAGATCATAACCTTATAAATTGGTTTGTGTTTTGTTTTCTTAATAAAACACAGCTTATTGAATGTTTTTAACTGGTAGATATCATCACTTGTTTAAAGAATAAAAGAAAGACAACCTCTCAAGTAGACCAACGGTACTGTTCACTTAAAACTTAAAGGTAAGGACAGTTGAGTTATAGTTACTCTTGGTTTAATTTTGTTGCAGTAAGATATCGTTGACAATTTCAGATCATCACAGTATTTGTTCGGGGTAATAATTTAAATAACACATGGGTTTGTGAGTAACAGTATATAAATAACACATGGGTTTGTGAGTAACAGTAAAAATATCATCCCTCGTAAAAATACTGTTACCCGAGGCGTATTTTCCTCGGGATGATATTTTTACTGTTACCCACAAACCCATGTGTTATTTAAATTATTACCCCGAACAAATACTGTGATGATCTGAAATTGTCAACGATATCTTACTGCAACAAAATTAAACCAACTGATAATGTTTTTGTTCTTAATGGGTTAATTAATCATTTTTTAAATAATAAGGAATATTTGTACTGTGCATTTATAGATTTCCAAAAAGCTTTCGATTTTGTTGTTAGGGATATATTGTGGTACAAACTTTTGCAATGTGGTGTAAGTGGAAATATATTAAATGTTATAAAGTCAATGTATAGCAATGTTAAGTCACAAATGAAATGTAATAATGAGTTAAGTGATGCGTTTTACTGTAATTTAGGCGTTCGTCAGGGTGAAAGTCTCTCACCTTTTCTTTTTAGCATGTATTTAAATGATCTGGAGCAAACTTTAAATGATAGAGGTATAGAAGGTATTGATGTTGGAATGATAAAGATAGGTCTGTTGTTATACGCCGATGATATTATTCTTTTTGCGAAAAGTGCAGATGAATTGCAACATTCTCTAAATGTTTTATTAGAATATTGTAATAGATGGAAATTAACAGTAAAATACGGGAAAAACTAAAGTCATGGTGTTCAGAAAAGCGGGTAGATTACCGCAGAATTTACGTTTCTTGTATAATGATCAGGAATTAGAAATTGTATCACGTTTTAAATATTTAGGTGTTTTATTTACGTCAGGTGGTTCATATATTCAACATGATAAGTTATTAGCTGGACAGGCTTTAAAAGCTATTTTCAAAATGAATAAAATATTTATATAAATTTACAGATTTATTACCCAAACACACACACTTGATTTATTTGATAAGTTAATTATGCCCAATTTTAATGTATTCCTCAGAGGTATGGGGTTTTTATAAAGCCCCACATGTAGAAAGAACATATTTAAGTTTTTGTAAAAAGATTGTTAAGTGTTAAAGCATCTACTCAAATGATTTTATATATGGCGAGCTTGGTAGACAAAGTTTGATATCATATAGAATGTTTAGTGTTATAAAATATTGGTTAAAAATATGTACATGTCCAGAATCAAAGTATATTAGAAACATTTATTTGATGTTAAAGAATGACGCAGTTAACACGAACCAAATGTAACTAACTGGGTGACTAATGTTAAGAACTTACTAATAAAACTAGGGTTTGAACATGTATGGTTAAACCAAGGTGTTGAAAATAAAGAACTATTTTTTATTGATATTAAAACAAAGGATAAAAGATTATATGGCTGATTGATTTTAATAATAGATTAGAAAAACTCGACAAGAGCACTGTTTTTTAGAACAATAGTTAGTTTTAATTTTAGCAAATATCTAGGTGATATAAATATCCTTAAGAATATAATAGCTTTAGCACGTTTACGCACGTCATCTCATAGATTAGCTGTAGAATCTGGAAGGTGGAGAAAACCAGAATGTGTGCCTTTTAATGAACGAACTTGTCATATATGTAATTCATTAGAAGATGAATACCATTTTGTACTTGTATGTAATATGTTTAAAGAACTTCGTACAAAATATATCAAGAGATACTATTGGAATCACCCTAGTAATTTTAAATTTATTTCTCTTATGAACACAGAAAATGTAACAGATATTCGTAATTTAAGTATTTACACGTATCATGCTTTTATTAAACGTCAGCAACAGATTGATTCACTGTAGATTTTGCCAATTTTAGATGTAGATATATCTATAGCATTATTCTAGGTTAATGCTTACTAAGACAAAACGTTTTGTAAAAATAAATTGCTTTAAATTATAAATATTATAACCGGCTGTTGATATTCACCCTTTCTGTCAAGGGTTGACTCATCTAAAATGAAAACGGTGACTCGATAAAATATATATAGATATATCTATATCATTTTATAAGACTAATTTAATCTTTTTTTGTCAAACAAAATGCTTTATAGTGTATGCAAAATATTAGTACTTTGATGATAACCTAGTAATAGATACCTTTAAAAAAATGGTTCCGTTGATGGAGACTCCTGATCTTTCTGTTTATAATGCCGTTGCTATTTACAGATCACCATCATGTGCTCTATATTTTCGTTTTCGTTTTTTCGATGGGGCATTTATGTGTTGGTGAATGTATCATATTTAGCACTACGTATCATTTGTGGATAGCGCCCCTTTCCAAGAAAGAGCAAAATCCTTAAATGATATCAACATATTATGTAGGAGCATCCAACCTCGTTAACCATATTATTATTATATAGAAATTAATATGTTTTGTCGTATTGTAATATTTACATCATTCTGCCTCTCCAAGCGAGATGTCATGTGAAACCACTCTTTGTTTAATATTGTGCCCTGAAGCTCTTTGGTTTGGTAATTTTATATAGCACAGTGAATCAGCTTAAAGTGTATGAGCTACTTTTCCATTTACCAAAGAATTATTTCACGTGAATACACATGCCATCTCGACTTCTTGTCACGTATTGCTATGTTTATATTTGTGTATGTATATATATTGATGCTTTGTCAATTGCTCTTTTTAGGGCTTTAGTGCAAATAAAAAGTTCTTCTTCTTCTTCTTCTTCTTTATTTTATTACCCCGAACAAAAATACTGTGATGATCTGAAATTGTCAACTAAATCTAACTGTAACAAAAATAAACCAAGAGTAACAATAACTAAACTGTCCTTACCTTTTAAGTTTTAAATGTACTTTAGGCCTACTTGAGAAGTTTTCTTTTTCTTTTATTCTTTTAGCAAGTGATGATATCTACAAATCATAAACATACAATAAGCTAGGTTTAATTTAGAAAAGAAAACACTAACCCATTTACACGGTTATGATCTGTAAAATTTCCAGAATACTTTAAGCATGGTTTTTGACAAAATAACGATGATATCCTATGTCTGTCCACCATATCTGTAACGTTTTACAGATTAAAATTGTTAAAAAATCCTTTGTTGCATGCTTAAATCTTCTGCATGTTCGAGTTTGACACATAATTATTTACATTGCAATTACTTCCGTTGGAACCGGATGTTCACTTTTTGACTATTCAACAAAAAGATATTTTATACGCGAAAAGCACACAAGGGTGCGAACAACTAAATTTTATGAGTGTCATTGTTACTCCAGAGAAGATGTTCTATCAGGGTTTAACGTCGTAAATAAGAATGAATCGAGAAAAAAATGGCGGCCATTTTATTTCATTTTATTTAGAAAATAGACCACGTGACCAGATTTTATACTGTTAAAAATACTGTAACAGCACAAAATTCTTTGTCACGTGGAACGCTTGCATTTACAGTAAAAATAACTCCCAGAGGCCTATGGGAAATTACGAAAAAAGTGAGGGGTAATAATATATAAATAACACATAGGTTTTTGGGTAACAGTAGAAATATCATCCCGAGGAAAATACTGGTACCCGAGGCGTAGCCGAGTTTGACACAAAATTATTTACATTTCAATAATTTCCGTTGAAAACGGATGTTTCCTGTTGACTATTCAACAAAAAGATATTTAATACGCGAAAGGGACTCTAGGGTGCAAAGAACTAAATTTCATCAGAGTAACAGTTACTTCGGCGATGCCCTATCGTCGCAAATAAGAATGAATCGAGAAAAAAATGGCGGCCGTTTTATTTAGAAAATAGACCACGTGACCAGATTTTATACTGTTAAAAATACTGTTACCTATGTAACAGTACAAAATTCGTAGTCACGTGGTACACTTGCATTAACAGTAAGAATAACTCCCAGAGGCCTATGGGAAATTAACATTACGAAAAAAGTGAGGGGTAATAATAAAAAATCACCTGTCATAAAAATTCTGTTAGCCCCGGCTATCGCATCGGGTAACAGTATTTTCCTCGGGATGATATTTTTACTGTTACCCACAAACCCATGTGTTATTTATTAGTTTATTTAAAAGTAATTGTGGGGTACGCCAACGGGAAACTTTGTCACCAGCGTTATTCTCTATTTCTCTCAATGACCTAGAATTGCATCTTGGTTTAACCAATGATGACATTATAATGAACACCAAAATATTCAAGGTG